AAAAAAAAATGCTAAAAAGCTTTTTTCAGTGTGACATGCCAATGACAAAAAGAAAGAAAGTTCTTACCCTCTATTCAGGGCTCAATCTGGTTATGTAAGATGTGTTTTTAACTTGTTTAAGTTTGTTTGTTTCTGTAATTTCGCTGAGAAAATTGTGAAGCCTGGAACGAGTTCACGAACCCACGGGAGAATGGGCTAAACAAAATGGCAGAGGGGAAAGAGCACAAATGAGCACAAAGGAAAAGGCAGTGTGTAATGATATAACTTGCGCCCGAGCATGAACGGAAGTCGGTTACATTTGCACAATGTAACGTTCGAAATTTTGCCGGCACGAGTTATCTAATAGACAATGAGTAAAAAATATAAAGCGATACTACACACCAAAACATCTAATAAGAGATTGATAATTCAACTGCTGTGAAAATCAAAAGAAATGAAAAGAAGAAGAGTGTGACAGTTTTGCGTGCGCGCGCCGACCTGTACAGCAAACAGGTTTTCAACTGTACAAATAACTACAATATCGCTGTATCTTTGTACTGTTATTTGGACGCTATTTGCTGCAGTTGGATAGTAATTAATGATTTTTTTAATTCTATTTTTGGGGGTGGTCCGTAGAGGGGGTCTGTAGGGGTAGTACGTGGACCGGTCCATAGGTGGTCCGCGGACCCGGTCCGTAGTGGGGATCCGCGGACCGGGGGTCCGTGTTTTCGGGTTACCCCTCGAATGCTGCTTCCGGCGGAAAATATCCTTTGCAAGATCTGAATTCCACCGCTCGTGCTCCCAGGTTAGTAAGAAAATATTTTTCGCGTCTGTTTCTTCTTTTCGATCTGTAAAACGCATTAGCTTAGAGATGCCGTAGGCAATGTAAGAGTGCACTCGTAAACAACGTAAAGGAAACCAACGAGATACCGATTGAGTTGAGATGTTACCGTTACCGCTTCGAACGGCGAAAGCGCCAACGAAGTATTGCTCAGAGAATGTCCAATATCTTCCTCGTTCAGTGCAGGCAACTTCTCCTGCTCGAAGCGGGAACCTTTGTCGCTACCTAGATAACGCATCAGCCCAATTCTGATCGATTGTTTTTGAAACATTTCTGCCCTGACATTTTGCTATGTGGTGATTTCTTCGCACTTGCAAATGGACAAGAACTTTTGCGTTTCTCCGACGACATATTTAAGCTCAAATTAACAATCAACAAACGCAGAACATTCAGAACGGCTCGACGACTACCAAACACAAACGTTAGACAATCGTACTACGTGTGAGTGAGTGAGTGAGTGAGTGAGAARTTTATTAAAGTGTCAAAAACCTTATAGCCTGGAAATAATACACCATACTAATTAGGGGACACTGCTAAGAAACTCTACTACTGATATTAATACAATAAAAAATAAATGACTTGAAGGGCATTATGGCGGCAATCTGTCACGCAACTTTTTAACGCACTTCTCGTGACAACCCGTTGACAGCTATCAGTTAGAGGTATTTAATGCAAGGAAAGGTTTTTCGTTTATAGCTGCTTAGAATCAATCTTTTTTCATAGTATTTTTTTTTTTAATGAAAGATCGCAATAAGATTTATCTGAAAAAGCGAAAAACAATTCTTTTGAAAAATGGTAAATTTTGGGCTATACTGATACCTTAACTCAGAGTTCTCGAGTGAAGTTTGTGAAGAGGCCAAAGCAACTTTAGCATTCTCTCTATTTTTGTTAACTGCGAAGAAAAAGACTATTATAACGGCAGCTTGTTTTTGACTGACGCTTGTACTGCGGGCGCAGCAACTGTATGCAAGGTATGTCAGTAGCCAAAGTTTAAAATATCAGTACAGCCTAACCTGTGGTTGTTAAAGTTGTGCCACTCTTGACTTATGTCTGTGCTCCAGCTGTTTTGTGAGTGGGGGAAGTTCCTGCCCACTCCTAGTGTAGTGTTCAACGTATCTTCAAGAGGAAAGCTTTACCGCGCTTTTTGTCTGCCATAGAACTGTCGGCGTGGCCGCTGTTTATCAGCTGAGGATAGAAGATGATCAGGACAAATTCGGAGGGGTTTTTTAGACGCATTCGACACGATAAGCTTTCCTCTCGAAGATAAACACGTTGTGAATGAACATCACGTGATACGAAAAAGTCACGACGCTACAGAAAAAATGTCCTCACATGGCGCATTTCAATGTACCACGTGATTGGTTTGAAACAAACTCGCGGCATCAAAAACGTTACTCTAAAGGCGGCGAAAAAATTCGAGGGTGTCGCGGTCTACTGGGAAGAGTAGTAACCTCAACAGAGTCTTCTAAGTCTGCTTTGCTCGTACCATTTCTCCAATTCCTTCACATCATCTTTCGATTGAGAGTGAGGAGTCATTGTTGTAAGGCCCTGACGAGAAAAGCTTTGTTAAGTACGATACTTGTCCCGGGCCGCTGAAATACACATACAGCATATTGTTGATGCCGCTCAATCGCTTTTAATATTCTGCTGCTAAAATTTAAACTACTGGCATGTTTTTCTCGTGTCCAATGTGGACTTAAATAGTACTGAGGCATTATGGGCAAGTTATGTTTCGGTTTTGTGGTTTTGATACTGGGCGTCAGAGACAGCTGAGCCTTGAATTTACGACAGGAACCTTTTTTAAATAAACTAAATCAGGAATTATCATTTTAATTTTTCGTAGCTTATAATTTGGATATCCAACATATTTCAACGTTTGCGCTTAGGAGGACAAGTGAAGATAGCAACGCTTTAAATCTGGAAGGGAGGAGATTGTTAAGGATTTCAGATAAGGTCACAGAACTGAAGGAGGTGGAAATACTAAATCTTTCACACAATGAACTCACAAGGTTGCCAGCAAGTGCAAGCAACCTCACGAACCTCGCAATGCTGAATTTGAACCACAACAAGCTAACACAGTTTCCTGAAGTTGTTGTCGCCCTGATCAACCTGACGCACTTGTTTTTGAATGACAATGAACTCTCAACACTGCCGGCAAATATGAAAAATCTGGAAAAATTAGAAGAGCTGGAATTGAGGAACAACAATGTAGAAAGAATCTATGAAGATATCGTTGACTTACACCGTCTTAAAAAGCTGTCCGTGGCAGGGAACCCCTTGGGCTTTGAAGAAATTGAAAGTCTCATGACGCAAGGGATGTCATTAGACATTGCAGGTTAGCATAGAACCTGGCCGGTTACGTTATGCCGTGCCCTGGTGTATCATAATCTAGCTACATATCTGAGTTGACTGCATACCTCTTAAAGTTGTTGTTAATAGGCCAATTCTAATAGAGTATGCCGCCGAACCTTGAGGGACTAAAACAAAAGAAACCATTTATTCGTACCTCAACCTCGATGTTGTTTCTTTGGTTGTAGTCCCCTAAGCCTTGAAGCCATGTTAGAATTTTATAATCTATGCTTACGGTCCATTTATTACATGTATTTAGTGTATAGGCGAATCTTTGCTGACGTCATTGTTTACATTTTTCCTCATTAGCATACGACGTGACTCAAAGAAGCCGCGGCCGTATATATGAACTAAATGGAAAAGTTGATAAAGCTGATTAAGTGAAGCAATTTGTGCAACTTTCAGCTCTTTGCAAGCATAATTGAAGGAAATATCAGCCATCAAAAACTGAAAAATTGCAGTGTGGCAAAAAAGTTAATGAGCCATACATTTCTCTGTAAAATTTCGAGTTTTTAGAAGAGAATTTCTCCGAAACCATTTCGTGTATTGGGCTCAAATTTTCCGAGGTAACTGAAACTGTTATGCCCTTTCAATATTCAGAGTATTTCTTTGATTAGCGTCATCAGATAGTGATAAGCAAATGCTAATGAGGCAAAAAGTGTAAACAAAGATTCGCGTATTCTAATGTGGATGCGAATAAGATACGCAGTTATGATCGCAAGTTGCGCTTATTTGTTACTTTGTAATCACTGGCGAACCTCTGTGATTGAAGCATACGACAATAACCAATATCACTTCGTTAATAACTGTTATTGCAGTTATCAGCGGCTTGACACACAAACGAGGCGAAAGTGTCAATCATTGACCCTTTCGCGTCGTTTGCATGCCTGTTAAAACGAAAGAATATTTGACCGCAGACTCAACTGCAATAACAGCTATTCCCATATAAACAGCCTTGGCAATCAGAAAAATCACTGCATTTTCTTACAATTACACCCATAGTTCCAGGAGAAATACAAGCACAGGGAGATGTTGCAAAGCTGTTCTATGAAAAGGCTTTGAAGGATGGTTCTGTGAATGTTTACCGTGGTAGAGTATTATTGGTCGGCCAGGATCGTGCAGGGAAAACAAGTCTGAAGAAGTCTCTCTTAGGTTTGCCATTTAACCCTAAAGAACAGAGTACTGAGGGAATCGAAGTTGATCCTTCAGTCTGCGAGATTGAAGTCGATCAAGTGAAAAACTGGAATTCCACTAGCGAGATTAAGCCAAGTCTGGCGGAATTTTCTGAAGACATATCAAGAATGTTAGCTGAAAAACATTATCACTGTATAGTCAATGAACTAAAGGAAGAGTCGGTAATGGAATCAGATCTAAAACTGACAGGAGAAGAATCAACAATGGAGGTGGGCAAGAACAGCTTGGAAATGAATCAGGTTTGTACGTTGAGGTCTCGGGCGACTCTAGTTTAAAAGTGAATGGTATTGTCGATGTTAATTGAAAACGACACTAAAAGCGACCATATATAATCTCTTTTGGTGGCTGAAGATCATTAGTACCTACATGTAAGAGGTCGAGGAGTGATCAGTGTAAAACAATGCTGAGTAACACTGATAGGCCAAGAGTAACGTCCCAGACATAGGACTGATATCTACTTCCTGATTGACTATTTGCAACTTACTTTGACAGCACACCCCGGCACCATAGCACGGTTGAAGCTGTTGTATGGCGCCACAGGACGCGACTCGTGTACCTATCTTCTAAGAGCATAAAACTGGGCATTTTTGAAACAGGATTACGGTATAGAAAAAAGGAGCTAGTATACATAATATTTGGGCTTTGACTGAATTGTAGTCAGACTAGATAGATAAGGTAGACTCATTTACAATGCAAAGTGAGTTCCTGTGGGCAAAAATGTGACAGTTCTTTTTCAGTAATCCTACACTATTTCTCAGATATAATTATCGATACTGGAATAAGCAGGTCCTAATGAAACGAAAATGCTACCTCTTTTAAAAACTCCATTTTAGGTTCCTGAAAATGTTGGCAATCTCAAGAACTCAACCATTTCCCCGCCAGAGAGTGAAATGC